GTTGGCCGCTGCAATCTCTTTCCTGGCTCTCAGCTGCCCTCAGGTGGACCAGGCTGTGGGTCCAGCCCCAGGAGCACCGGTCGAAGCACAGAGGTGTCTCCTGGAGATTCTGCAGCCGGGGCCTAGGCAACCATCTTGTCTGCATAGGCCCACCCTGACCCGGCCTGCTGGGCTGCCTCATCTCCTGAATCCCTTCTGGGCGTCTTCAGAGTCTGGGAGCTGGCACTGACTCTTGGCCTATAGTGTCACTGACATTTACTGGCCCTGGGTCTCTGCACGGACCTGTTACGATGGCTTCTGAGCCCTTTGAGCGGAAGTTACATGTCTTAGACAGACGGGGTGATGTGTGGCGTCTCAAAGGCAGAAATTCCCACTTCCCCTTAAACCTGACTTGTGGCTCTAAATTATCCAAAGCAAGGCCAGAAGCGAAACTCAAATGAGGTGACTCTCCCCAAAGAACAGAGCGGTCTCCTTTCATCAGAAGAGGTGAGGCTCCCTCCGGCCTGTGGCCAAACACAATGGTGACGGCGCTCACTCGTCACTAGGCCTGGCCGTCCCCTCCCCACTGGAGCCCAGGGGTCCTGAGTCCATCCACAACAGCGTCCAGCCAAAGGGACCGAGCTGCACAGGCCTCGCAGCCCCTGCTGGGTGTGCCGGGACACCTGCTCTGACACAGCCCTGCTGCAGGTACACCTAGCCTCACAGGGTCACACGTAGGCACTGGGCGTGGCAGTCCTGACTAAGCCCCACTGGTGGGCTGTCCCAGCCTGACCCTGGTTGTGAAGGCACCTCCAGATGTGTGTCTCTAGCTCAGCCCCAGGCTCAGCAGAGCAGAGATGAGCTGTCCCTGCTGGGTCAGTCCTGGTCCAGAGAAGTGTGCACAGCTGGGGCACTGGCCGCCGGTTCTTGTCATCGCAGCTGCAGGTCCCCACAGCGCCTTCCTCTGCTGGCTCCAAGCCTCCTCCACTGCATGGCATCTGCCCCTTTGCTCTCAGGGCCCACGCATGCCCGGTGGAGGGGAGGGTGCCTTAGAAGCTGGGGGCTCCATCACAGCCTCGCCTGGGGCAGGCAGAGGCCCTGGTAGGTTTATTGCCACTGATTGACTTCTTGAAGTGGGAAGGCTGACCACCTTCTGCCTTCAGCCTTGAAGGTGCCGACGGCCCCTGTAGGCCTGGCCTGGGTGTCCTCGGCGGCACTGCTGGGAGTCGCCTGGGTGCAAGTGTGCGGCACCAGCTGTACCAGCCCCAGGCGAGGGCTGGAGGGCCCAAAGGAGGGGCAGGCCCTGGTGACAGAGCTTCCCTCTGGGGTGTGCAGAGGGGACCCCCCGGCCCCACTCAGCTTCACACCCCAGGGGCCCCAAGAGTGCCGGAGGCAGGAACCAGACGGGAACCGTGGGGGCAGACGCGGGGCCAGCTCAGTCCATAACATGAGTTTATATTCTGTCGCTGTTTTTTCAATTAAACGTGGGCGAATCTGAAGTAGTTAGATTTAGTCTAAATCCACACCACGGAGGAAACCCGTGCTCTTTTGCTTGCTCATTTCTTTCTCTGAATTTTCACTGAGGGGCCTTTATCTTCCCCTTAATCCTACCATTTCTGTCAGGACATAATCTCTTTCTCAAATTTACATTTTAATTACAAGGCCAGCTGAACTAGGTAAAATCAATAATGTCAGCGCTGGGCAGCCCGCCTGGGCGCAGAGGCCCCCGCCTCTCCGTTTCCTGCCATCGATTCCCTCCCGCACTGTCTGCTTTGGTGCTTCAGGCAAATAGGTGCCACTTGGCCAATTTAAACAAAAAAGGGGATTTGGACATTTTTATGATTCTTTCTAACAACAACCGTGGGAGTGAATTTGAGCCAAGATGCTGGACTCAGTGAGACGCCGTGCGGGCGGGCAGGCCGGGTTCGGCTGTGACGTGTGGCCTCTTGTTTTCCAGGAGTCATTATTCTTCCTGAAAATGCGTGCTCTCGGTGCCTGAGGAATGCTGTCTGCTTTTTGGGGTTTTGCTTTGAAAGTATGTCAGTGAGATTGATTTTCCACACGATGCGCAAGTGGGAGTGTTTTTAGTGCCCTAAGTATTTACCCTGCTGTAACACGCTTACCCATCTTTTTAATGGTTTAAAACAACAAATCGATGAAAAATATATTTCATTCTTGTAACTCTTAGGAATTCTCATATTGATCTTTTGGCTGTGATTGTATCTAAATGTCACATTGTTCACTTATCAGTCTTGCCTCCCTCACTGTGAGCATGCACGTGTATGTGCGTGTGTGTGCATGCATGCATGTGTGTGCGTGTGTGCGCGTGCGTGTGTGTGATCGTGCGTGTGTGTGCACGCGCGTGTCTGCATGGGTGTGTGCGTGTGTGTGTGCATGTGCACGCATGTGCTGACAGCCCATATCTGTGTCATGTGCATTTCTAGAATACTGAGGGGCACTTGGCAGGTCTGTGAGTAAAACCCAGGACACGACATTGAGTGCCAGGGCTGAGCAGGGGCTGCCCAGTGTCCCCCGGGTGCACGCCTTGGGGCTGGAGGTCCGGCCCTGTCACCTGCTCTGTGGTGGCTCTGTCTCGTGTCCTCTGCTCTCAGCCCCTGGGAACCCAGGAAATGGGAGCAGCCCCGCAGGCATGCAGCTGTGAGCAGGTGTGCAGCTGTGCACGGCTCAAAAGAGCTCCCGAGCGGGACAGGCACCTTCTGAAAGGGCCAGAGCGCTGTCTCTTCGGCTTCAGGGGCCACACGAGGCCTTGTCTCTGCGTGTAGATGATGGGTGCGACTGTGTGCCAGTAACACCCTATTCACGAAAGTAGGCGGTGGGCTGGACTTGGCCCACAGCCACAGGCTGGCGAGCCCTGAG